GGAAGCCGTTCAGTGATTTAGTCTAAAGCAGCCAACCCTCACCTGGGTCTTGAATTTGTGTTCTAAAGAACATTTTGATAATAATTTCAGCATAATTGGTTTCCTTTGTAATTGTGTTTTATTTTATGCATTTACAAACACCCATGCTGAGAAAGGGTCCAGAGGCTTTACCAGACCACCGGCAGGGTCTTCAGCACCAGAAGGGTCAGGAAGGCCCCATCCAGGGAGGATCACAGGCCTACAGGTCTAGAGCGAGAAGGGGCTTTACAGACCATCTATTCCAAGCCAGTACCCCCCCTCAGTTTTACATGTGAGGAAACTGAGGCCCAAGGTGACACAGCCAGGAAGGGACAGAGACGGTATTCAGACCCAGACCTCAGACTCCACACATAGCATACTTCTCTCTTTAGGTAGGTGGTGTTGTTCGGTTGTTTCAGTCATGTCCGATTCTTCATGACCCCTTTTGGGGTTTTCTTGGCGGAGATGCTGGAGGGGTTTGCCATTTCCTTCTCCAGCTCATTTTACAGATGAGGAAACTGAGGCCAACAAGGGTAAGTGACTCACCTAGCTAGTAAATACCTCTAGTAGGTAGTGCAGTAAATGCTTATTGATTGGCTTATGGGTGACATTAGGCACGCCACCTGTGAATCAGCATCGATTAAGCATCCACTCTGGGCCAGGACCTCAGAAGGCTGTGACGTGAAGCCAGGGGATCCGACTCCCAAGTCTGGCTGTGTTCCATAGCACCGTCCAGGGACGTATATCCTGGGGATGTAGAGACAAAAATACAGCAGTCCCCTCGCCCCAGGGAATTCTAGCCTAGACTCCTAGGGAGTGTAGAGGTCATCTGGTCTGTCAGCTCTTTGTCTGTAGGCCGTGGGTCCCCAGGAGTCCAGAGTCCATAAACTCCTTGGCCTCAGTTTCCTCACCTGTAAAATGAGAGGTTAGACTGGATGACCTCTGAGGCTCTAAATCTGTCTCCTGTGATAGCCAATCACAATTTTCTCAGTCAGAAGAGTGTACAACTGCTATCATGTAGGGTGATGTGTAAGCTTTTTTTTTTTTTTTTGCTTTTTTGGTGAGGCAGTCAGGGTTAAGTGACTTACCCAGGGTCACACAACTAGTAAGTATCAAGTGTCTGAGGCCAGATTTGAACTCAAGTCCTCCTGACTCCAAGGCCAGAGCTTTTTCCACTGTGCCACCCGGCTGCCCCTCTGTAAGCATTTTTGATGTTTAAAAAGGGTCTGTGTACTCAAAAGGGTAGGTCAAATCTATTCCAAGTCCTTCACTTTTATTGAATGCTGAAAGTAAATGACTTGTCAGAGTCACCCGGCTAGTCAGTAGAAGAGCTGTTTGCCCTCCTTTTCCCGCGGAAGGAGCAGCCACTAATAATAATAATATTGATAATAACATTTATATAGCACGCACTGTGTACCGGGTACTTCATAAAATCTCATTTGATTCTTACAGCAATGCTGAGGGGCTGTAAATGCCATTATTACCCCCATTTTGCAGATGAGGAAACAGAGGCAGACAGGTGAAGTGACTTGCCCAGGGTCACCAAGCTAGTAAGTGCCTGAGGCCAGATTTGAACTCGGGTCTTCTTGACTCCAGGCCCAGTGCTCTGTGCACTCTGGTGCCCCTGGCTGCCCCTCACAAGTGAAAGGGGTGAAACTGAGCTTCCCCTTAGCAGGGTATATCAGACGATTGCTCTTGACGTGGTGATAACCCCAACGATTTCCATGGCCGGCCTGCTCTTGGATTATGAAGGTGCTGAGGTCTGGGGCTCTCTGGATCCAAACCCTGGACCATGTTCCCTGACTTCACAGTACCCAGGACAGGGCTCTGCCTACAACTGTTTCTAACATCTCTTTGTTGAATAAGCTGACACTGGCTTGTTTTACACAGGGTGTCCTCACTCTCTGTCCTTATCTGTAGCATGGGGCGCATCCCACCACCCTAATTACTGTGTGATTCACGGACAGTAGAGCCAGGGCTAGAAGGGGCCTTTGAGGTCATCTGGGCCGATCCACTCTTTTAATTTTATATTTTTGTTTTCATTCAGACGTGGGATTTCATTGACGTAGGTATCTCCTAGTGAGAAAAGCTCTCCTTTGCCAGATGAGGAAACTGAGCTCACAAAGGTTTAGTGACTTGTGACAGCAGAGCTGGGCTGGAGCTTCGGTCCTAGAGGTCAGCCCTCCACATCTTCACTGTGTCCGCTGCCGATTAGGCAGAAATGCCTGGAAAGACGAAAGCACCATTGGGGGAGGCCGCTAGTGTTGGCACCACTGCTGGGCCCTTTCTAAGTGGGCGTTATGGGGGTGCTGCAGGGGGGCTTATTTCTTCCAGTAGACAAGGGCCAGGCTCCATCACAGCCTGTAGCAGTTGGCCCCTGACCCAGGATCTCTTCATATTTATAAACCAGCAGCCCCAAGTTGCATCCTTGTTTCTTTCAGAATATCCCCTTTCCCTGCTGTTCCCACAGAGCTGCATTTTTCTTTCCATATTTTGTACGCTCACCAGAGCATGCAGGCCTCAGCCCCTTTTTGTTTTTTTTTTAATTAAATTTTTTTCAGTTAAAATATTTATTTTTTCTCTCTCCTCCCTCTCCCTCACTGGAGAAGAAAAGAAAAGAAAAACAAAACCCTTATGACAAATATGCATCGTCAAGCAAAACAAATTCCCCCGTTAGCTGTGTCCAAAAATGTGTGTCTCATTCTGCATATTGGGTCTGTCATCACTGTTTCTCTGGAATCACTGGGGATCATTGGACCCCAAGTCCCTTGTAATCATCATTACGTCAGAGGAATGAACATATTCTATGGGGTTTGGGGGGGATACATACATATGTATATAAATATTTGTTTTATATAGATTATAGATATATGTTCAGGAATATGTATGTATAAATGTGTGTATAATATATAGGAGATATATAGATATATGATAAACAATATTAGGTAGGTAGGTAGGTATGTGTATATGTGTGTATATATGTATATGAAATTTATATACACACATACACACATACACATACATACACAGGACCACAGAGGGCTGTGACGTGAAGCTGGAGGATCTGATTCCAAGTCTGGTTTGTGTTCCATAGCACTGTCCAGGGACGTATATCCTGGGGATGTAGAGACAAAAATAAAACAGTCCCCTCGCCCCAGGGAATTCTAGCCTAGACTCCTAGGGAGTATATTTTTTCTCATATATATATATATATATATATACACATACATACATACATATACATACACACACATTCATTCATTCATTCATTATTCATTTATTTTTAGGCAGTTGGGGTTAAGTGACTTGCCCAGGGTCACACAGCTAGTAAGTGTCAAGTGTTTGGTCTGAGGCCAGATTTGAACTCGGGGCCTCCTGACTTCAGGGCTGGTGCTCTATCCACTGTGCCACCTAGCTGCCCTCATTCATTTATTTATTTATGAAGTAGAGCATTCCAGTTGTGGGGAACAGCCAGAGAAAATGCCTGGAGAGATGGAGTGTTTGTATCTGAAACAGGATCAGGAATGAATGACTATATGTTTGTGCATATTTATTTATGCATATACACATATACATATTCCTGTGTCTGGGATGCACTTTGCCCTCATCTCCACCTCCTGACTTCCTTTAAGGTCCCAATGCCCCTCTTAATTCCAGTGCCTTCCCTCTGCTAATTTTCTCCTCTTCATCTTATAGCTTGCTGTGTTTGTATTTGTTTGCCCATGGTTAGACTGTAAGCTGCTTGGGGGCAGGAACTCTCGTTTTCCTCTCTTGCCGTCCCTAGTGCTTTGCGAGGTGCCCGTGACGTGGTAGACCCCTAATAAATGTTTATGGCTTGCTTCATCGTTTTTCTTCCTGGCGTCCAGTCGCTGTGTGAATGCACAGACCGAGCTCAGGGCTGCGGCCTTGTCCTTGGTGGGCAGCAGACAGAGGCAGCCTGTTTTTCGCCCTCCCGTGAAGCGGCTTTGGTGGGGCGCTGCTGGCCGCCAGCAAGGGCATCTTCCTGTTCTCCTGTAGGCTCAGAAGGAGAACCTTCTCGCCTGTCTTGGGCAGGGGTCCGGGTGGGCTCTCCTGCCTCAGAGGCAGGCGTCCCCTCCCACCTCCGAGTCCTCGGCGTGTCGCCTCTCTGCATCTTCCTTGCCTTGCTGGGCCCAGCCTTGAACTTTGCCTCTCCCCGGACAGAGCCGCACGGGTCGGGTGGGCAGCGGTGGGGACGGCCGCTGACTTGCTGGATAAATTGAACAGTCCCTGGGGCCCACCTCACGCTGGCCCAGGCTGGCCCAGGCTGATCGCGGGCTCAGTTTTCTTGCTCTCAGCCAGGGTGGAGTGTCTGCCAGGATGCTGTGGGTTATTACCTCAATCCTGAAATATGCCCCATGAAGAAAGTGTAGCCCACAGAGCACCAGAGGAGGAATGCACCACACCACCCTCCCTCCACCATGGCTTTGTGGGGTGCCCATTTCAGAAATAAAATCCAGAAAGCCACATCCCTATTAAAAAAAAAAGATCAATGCAAGACATTTAGCAAAGACTTAGGATGGGGATTTTTTGGTGGTGTAATGGAAAGAGCCAGGCGGCCTTAATTTATAGGACAGTATGATGAAAAGAACCATTACTTCTAGTATCAGAGAATTGGGCTCAAAACTCACCTGAGCCACTCGCCACCTGTGTGACTATGGGCTGGTCATTTAGCTTCTCCTGCCTCAGTACCCTTATCTGTAAAATGGGAGAATTGGGCTAGAGGCCTCTGAGGCCTCCTCCGGGTCTCTCCCTGTGACTTTATGGGATCTTTAAAGCTCCCAATAAACATGAGTTAGTGTGTTTAGGCCTCTGGCAAATAGATTCTTCCTTAATGAAATTAGTTTTGAGTTACACTGAAACGGTAACCAGGACCAGACCTCGGTTTGAGTGTGCCGGCCTGTGGGATGTCGGTGCCTCTAGATGGAGACTTCTTAACTCACTTCTCTCCCCTTTATTTCTAGTTTCAATGGCGCTTCTCCCGTGAGGACATGCACACCCGGCAGATGAGGAAATCCAAGTCTAAACTGAGTGCCCGAGAAGAACAGAAAATGGAGGAAAATGAGAAAAAGCAGGGAGACCCCCTTCCCAAAGCAGGAGATGTGGGCAGCTGTCTGCCTGCCTTCGATCAGGTGGATGGGGTCCCTCAGGAGCTGGGTGGGGGTCTTCGGGAGACTGAAGGCAAAGATGCGAATCCTAGCTCGCAGGTGAACGCAGCTGCTGACCGTGGGGTCCCCTGTGAGGCAGTGGTCACCTGCAACAGAGAGGGTAACCCGCAGGAAGGGTCCGTGCTGGCCGCTGGAGTGGAACCTCCCGCGTCAGAAGAGATCTGACTCGAAACAGTTTTCTGCAAATCGAGGAGAGCTTGGCTGACCGCCTTCCTTGGAAGGACTTAGCGCGCAGACTGCTGTTTGACTTGGCACGTTCTCTTCTTCAAAAGAGAACTCCACACTCCCTCACTCCACCATGTTTTGTTTCTGCACATCTACGTTTGAAATGTCTTAAAATACAAGAGTTTGGGCTGTTTCTCCTGGTGTCTGAGAACCCAGGCCCCTAGCCCAGAAGCCCCTCACTCTCCTTTCCCTGGGGTTTGAACAATCCAATGCAAACTTCCTCTTTTGGGGGGCTTGGGGAACATTCAGGTGGACTTTCCTGGGCCAGAACCAAGTCTCAGCCTGCCCATAAAGAATGCCAACACCCCCATTGCTTTCTGCCCCTACTGCCTGGCCCTTTCACAGGATGAGCAGTACCCAGAGGGCCATGTTTCCTCACCTTTAGAAGTCATTAGACACTCACTACTGCTTTGGCAAAATGGTGCTAGGCAAAGCGTGTGGTACTAACTTCCCTATGGAGATCCTGAGAGTTCCCATATTCATAGTCATCTGGGAACGAAAAGCGAATTCTCCAACCTGTTGTTGGAGAAGTCCATCTGAGGCTCTGTGTTTGTGTCGGTCCCCCCCACAAAAAGAGGTTTTGTATCCGGTATGTCCAGTGCATACCTTTGCTTTGCTGTCATCTCAGGGCGACCGCATTTGGTTGGGTGCCCTTGCTTCAGTGCATCATCGACGGAGTTGGTGCGCTATGTAATGCTGTGTCTGTGGAGTGTGCGTCTTGTCTAGAAAGCCTTGTTCAGACTGGTAAAATTAGAAGGAACACTCACACTGTATTTACCAAAACAATGGCCTGTCCTTTCTCTTTCTTGCTTAGTTACTTGAAGCAATAAATCACCCTTGAGTTTAGCGTGCTGCTGTCAAGTGCTGGTTATTTATCATGCCATGAAGGAAGCCTCCCCCTCTCTCTCCCCACCTCACAAGTCTCCCACTCCACAGGCCATGGGTCCTTCTGCAAGGCTCTTAATACCTACAGCTAGGAGAGGGGTGAGAGAAGAAAATGGAAGCCGGGGGAGAAGCAGCCCTCGGGCTGGCCTGGCTGGCAGAGAAGTGGCTGGAACAGCCGCCCCATCTAGGTGCTGCCATCTTTGGTTTGGGAGGCATCCATAGAGCAGAGACCAAAAGGGAAGACAAAAGAGACGCCAGGTAAGAGGTGGAGATGGTGGACAGCCAGTCTGGGAGAGCTTCTTAAAAGAGTAGCCACTCTGTACGTTATTGAGATCAGGCTCTTTCCTGTTTGCAAGTTTATTAAAATGTACATATTTGTAATATATTTTTTATAGAGCAGGTTCAACCCACTCAAATATGTTGCATGTTGCTGGGGGATTTTTTTTTTCCATTTGGATTGTGAGCTCTGCCTCATTTTACTCAGGAGAGGTTTCAGGGCCTCTTATGAAAAGAAGGGTTGGGAAAGCTGTTTGGACTTCATTTTTTTCCCCGTGACATTTTCCCAGAAGGATATTATCGTGTCTAGTATCTGTACAGCATCTTGGCTCAATAAAACATTAACTCTTCGTGCACACCTCCTCTGTTCCTGGCTCTCTGTGTAAACAGTCACGGCTCCCAAACCACAGCTACTTTGTACGGGGGCTCAGAAAAGGCTGACGTTCTTGTTTTCCCATTCTGGATAATGGTACCCAGGGTCAGTTGCCTTAAATCGTTCCGTTTCATGCACAATAGCAAGCCTAACATTTTTCAGTAATTAAATAACATTTATTTTGGTCCCACCTGCCATTTAAAAAGCAACAACATACCAGAACTGTAACTAATTTAAATTACAGGGCCTGGGGATTTATTTCAGTTGCCAAATCATTCCTGAATGATGCTTCCCCCCACACTCACTTTGTCCCCATCCGAAGGCCAATTGCCACAAATTCAGTTCAGTGTGGCCTGGTCATCAATCAGTCAATAAACATTTGTTTAGCACCTACTACGTGCCAGGCACTGTGCCAAGCCTAGTGGGAAAAGAACCTCAGTTTTGAGTCAGGAGGAACTGGATTCAAACCCTCACTGATCACTTGTTATCTCTGTGACTTTGGACAAACCGGCTGACCTAACAAAGATGTATTAAAATGCCTACTACATGCCAGGCACAGGGTTAGCTCTAGGGATAGATACATGATTGATATTGAATAGATGATAGATAGATAGATAGATAGATAGATAGATAGATAGATAGATAGATAGATAGATAGATAGATAGATAGATAGATAGATAGATGAGAGATGTATGGGTATAGATAGGTGGATGGGTAAATAGATGCATGAATAGATGGATAAATGGATGGGTGGGTGGATCAATTGATAGGTAGATGGGTAAATTAGTGGATGGATGGATTGATGGATGGGTAGGTGGATAGTTGGATGGGCAGGTGGATCAATTGATGGATGGATGGATGGATGAAGGGGGTGGATCAGTTGATGGGTAGATGGATGGATGGATGGATGGGCGGGTGGATTGATGGATGGGCAGGTGGATTGATGGATGGGTAGATGGATAGATGGGTGGGTGGGTGGACAGATAGATGGGCAGACAGATGGGCAAATGGATGGATGGATGGGTGGGTAGGTGGACAGATAGATGGGCAGATGGGTGGGTGGATGGATGGATGGATGGATGGATGGGTAGGTGGATGGATGGGCGGGTGGATGGATGGGCGGGTGGATGGATGGGCGGATGGATGGATGGGTGGGTGGGTGGACAGATAGATGGGCAGATGGATGAGTAAATGGATGGCTGGCTGGCTGGCTGGATGGATGGATAGATGGGTGGGTGGACAGATAGATGGGCAGATGGATGAGTAATGGATGGCTGGATGGATGGCTGGCTGGATGGGTGGGTGGGTGGATGGATGAGTGGGTGGGTGGACAGATGGGCAGATGAGTAAATGGATGGCTGGCTGGCTGGATGGGTGGGTGGACAGATAGATGGGCAGATGGATGAGTAAATGGATGGCTGGCTGGATGGGTGGGTGGATGGAGGGATGGATGGGTGGATGGATGGATGGATGGATAGATGGGTGGGTGGACGGACAGATAGATGGACAGATGGATGAGTAAATGGATGGCTGGCTGGATGGATGGATGGCTGGGTGGATGGGTGGACAGATGGATGAGTAAATGGATGGGTGGGTGGATGGGTAGGTAAGATAGAGGCTGGACAGCTGGCTGCGTGTATTCATGCATACATCCATTCCCACATACCACATACACGCAGTAAGCATTTGAGCACTTGCTGTGTACCAGGCACTGTGCTAAACAGACAAAGCAGCCTCAGGTAGCCTGAGGTCCACTTGAAGACAGCAAAACACCTTCTCAGAGCCTCAGCTTCTTCATCTATAACATGCTCCTCGAGTCAGTGGCTGCCTCACTTAATTTCCACGGTTTCCACAGTGTACATAGTAAATATCACAGAGTAAATGCTAAAGAAAGGATAGACTGGTTTAGATGACACTCTATGTGACTGAAGGGAGGGCACGACTTCCCTTGCCTTGGTTTCTTCATCTGTAAAATGGGTTAAAACTAGCTGGCCTTGGGGATCTCTTCCAGTTCTAGATCAACGTTCTTATGAAGCCTGATGACCTGTTGTGTGTGTGTGTGTGTGTGTGTGTGTGTGTGTGTGTGTGTGTGTGTGTGTGTGTGTACAGATGTGATTTCATCTGTGTTGGAGGCTGCTGGGGAGGAATCTCCCTCCACCAGTACAGATAAGAGGCCTGGAGAGCTGCCTGGGGCCCTGAGAAGTACATAAGAGACTTGTCCACGGTCATAAGGTCAGGAGGTGTCAGAGGCGTTCCCCACTCTTAGGTGGGCTCTCCATTGGTTCCTGATCACTGCCCTTCCAAGGTGCTCCCTAACTAGAGGAAAAACCAAAGCTTCTAAAGTAGAGCTATGTGCGACATTTGAGGTGGTGGGGCTTTCCCAGTCAAGACTCGGGTTTTGTCTTTAATATGTTAACAGGGCACCTGACAATTGTGAGCAGGTAATGATGCTTCGGAGCTGGTGCTGATGGCCACAGAGGGCCTGGGAATCAGAAAGGCAAGCCTGTGGCTCAGCAGATGATTAGAGCCAAGCCCTGAAGGACTATAGTAGGTGCCTTAGGGCTCCTGGTGTCGTGTAGGCTGAGCTAGACGTGCAAGGAGCCTGCCTGAGAGAGATAAGAGAAGGCCAGGCCTGGGCAGTGTGGGCACAACGCAGGACAGACGGGGCCTGGCTGCAAAAAGCAGCATTTGCTTCCTGTCAACAGAAGGAGGGTTTGTTTGTTTTTTTTGAGGGGGGTTGGGAGTTGTAGGGGGAGAGGAGGACATTTCCAGGAACAAAGAAAAGGCCTGGCCATCTCTGTTCCTTTTATGAAGCTGTGATTGAAGCACGTTTCAGCACCATTAACCCTTTCTCCAGAAAATGATGGAAAATTACCCACCTTCTGGAGTTTAGTGTGCATATCCCGTGATCCAGCATTACTCCTGCAGGCAAAAAAAAAAAAAAAGAAAAAGAAAATGGAATCCAACTAATTAGCTGGTTATAAGATGTCTTTATCAAATCTTCTTAGAGATACGCAATTTTATCATTTTCAAGTCCATGGAGTAACTAGAACCAGCTGAATCATTAATAAGCCTCAGAAGTGGGGGAAGGAGGGGAAAGAGGGAGCATGGAACTTTAATAAAAAAAAACACCTATATAATTATATTTTATACATATATATGCTAGCTCTTATCATAAGATCATAATATTAAGTTCTTAGTTAAATTATGATCGTAGTTGGAAGAGTCGAGTCATTTTACAGTTGAGGAAACTGAGGACCAGAGGGTTTAAGTGACTTGTTATACAGCCAGCGTGTGTCTGAGGTTAAGATCTGAATCGAGAAATTCCTTGCTCCAAGGTCAGTGCTCTATCCATTACAATACACTGCCCCTCAAAGAAGGTACATTGTAAAGTGCTTTGCAAACACTGAAGCTGTCATCCATTAATCATCTATCATCTATCTGTTATTCAGTAATTTTTCAATGATGCCTGACTCTCTGTGACCCCATTTGGGGTTTTCTTGGCAAAGACACTGGAGTGGTTTTCCATTTTGTTCTTCAGCTCATTTAACAGATGAGGAAACTGAGGCAAACAGGGTAAAGTGACTTGCCTAGGGTCACACAGCTACTAAGTGTCTGAGGTCACATTTGAACTCAGGTCTTCCTGACTCCAGTCCAGCATTTTATCCACTGTGCCACCCAGCTGCCCCCCAGAATGAGATACCTGAGTGGTGCGCCATTTCCCTCTCCAGCGGATTAAGGCAAACAGGTGAAGTGACTTGCCCAAGGTCACACAGCTAGTAAGTGTATGAGGCCAGATTTTAACCCAGGAAGATGAAACAGTGGGGAAAAAAAAAAGTAAGGCGCAGCATCTGACTCAAGAAGCAGTGAGATTTAGTGACTGGGGCCCAGGGTCACCCAGCTACTAAGTGTCTGAGGTGGGATTCAAACCTCCCTGACATAAAGTCTTGACAATGCTTCCCTGACACCAGGTCCAAGGCATCGCCCACTATACCAGCATAATGGAAAGACCACTGGGTTGGAGAAGAGGAGCCTTGGTTTGAATCCAGCCACAGACACTTAGGAGCTGTATGAGCCTGGCTAGGTCATCTACCTTCTCCAGGTCTCAGCTTCCTCATCTGTAAAATGGGGATAATTTAGGCCAGGAGAGTTGAGAATGTGTGTGGCCTCTAGAGCTGTCCATCCATGAACGATTTCAATCGTTTACTTCACTTAACAAAACATACCTGTTGACAAGGAAGAGAAACTTCTGGACATAATGTAAACTTCTCTTGAGGACCCCTGATTTCACTAGCGTAAGTATTCCCTTCAAATGGAAGCTGGTGTTTTTGAAAGAGACAGTCAAGTGTCTGAAACAGCCAGGCCACAACAGGAAAGAGTCTGGAAGCCTGCCAGTAGCATCACCTTCCCATACAAATGTGCCCACTGATTTTTTAGGTTCTATGTAAAACAGGACATTACAATACCAATGCCAGGAAAGGCCTCCTCTTTTCTTTAAAAACACACAAAGTGTAAAACCATCTTTTTATCATAGCTTTAATTTTTAATGAGTTGGTCATGCTAAATGATCAGAACATAAATGTTTATAATAACCCAGACTGTAATGACAGGAATTTGAGGGACCTGTTTTCCGTTCAGAGAAAACACCTACTGCCCAAACACGTTAGTAACAGGTGAAATTGGAAACGTGACAGTCATTGGATATGCACACAATTACACATCTGCATATACGTGCAGAGACCCTCCCCCACTTCTACAACTAAGTGTCAGTGATAACATACTTCCTCAGAGCAATGCTGTTCTGAGTCACAGTTTACAAAAACCTTTCCATCTTAATAAGTCTGCTTGGACTCCAATACAGTAAGGTCATTTGTCCTCTACATCTTCCCCTTTACCCTAAAAAATATTATCTGGCAATATGGCACTATGAGGGTGAGGGGGCAGGAGGGAATCCCTTTTTGGGCTGGGTCTGCTAACTGCAAGTCCTACTGGAGGGAAGTCTATATCGAAGGTTCTAGGAGGCAGGCTCATAATTCTCTCAGACCAAAGTTATACAGAAGCAGGCACTAACTGGTGGTTAAAGGAAGACCCAGCTAACTGGCTGGATAAGGAAGAAATCCTTTACCTCCTCAGTAATTTGTTGTCCTTTGACATGGCCAGTCTATGAACCAGACCAGAAATGTCCAACACATGGCCTCCACGGGCTCAACCCTATGGAATGCAGGCCAAACCAGACTTGGAAAACATTCGACAATATAAACAAAAGCACAAAATAAGACAGATGATGTTAATATATGGTTTTCCAAGTCAATCTGTGACCTGCAGGGATCCTTGTGTATAGTTTGGTGACTTGTTTCTATCTGAATTTGACACCAATGAACTGGACTACAAGCTCTTTGAGGGCAAGGACCCTTGTATTTCAGCAAACAGCAGTGATCTACTCCAGACTAAATACATGAATGCATGCTGTTGCTGCTGACATAAGAAAGACCAGTAGGCAAGAAGCTATCCCATACAAAAGGAGATAGAACGTATATGACGGTCTCTCTGATCAGTAAGGCCAGAGTGATGTTCTTTGTTCAGGCCAGCTAAAGTGTGCCAACGCTGTTATATGTGGAGACTGGCTATTTATTGAGTAAATTTATCAAAATGGTGCCCCCCACCACTGCAGGGACTCCTGAACAAGATCTACCATCATTTAAGACCTGGGCCTCACCATGTATCCAGGAAAAACCACCTGAATGAAGATGACTGTCCAGGCTATGATCCACGTTTGAATGGCTACCACCTTCAGTGGAGCTCCTGTGGAGAATTTAAGGGAGGACAAGGGCCTGGGATGGAAACTTGTCTCTTTCTCTTCATTGTAGAGGTGGGGTACTGTGGGTAAGGAATGCTGTACTTCACATCAGACAAATTCGCTAAACTGCTTCCTCATTTTTCTCTTCTTTTTCACTTTTTGTTCTAAGGGATGGCTACTGGATTGGGGAAGAGGGGAATTTATTTAGAAATAAAGGTGCTATAAGAATAAAAGATATCAATAATTTTTTTTTAAACACAGTGTGGATTGTTTTCAGTCTGCACCTTTGGAGGGAGTACTCCCAGACCCAGCAAAATACAGAATGGAAAACAGAGGCAACTCCTGGTCCCCTTGGACCTGACTGAGCTTGTCACAATGTTACCTTGGGTTACCGGGATCAGAAGGAACTTTACCAAAGCTCCGGATCTGTGCCTTCCCCAAAAGGTCACATGTCAACTGTGGCACGAACAGGGCCTTCCCAAGGAAATCGTTCTCTCAGTTTTGGTTCCCATCAAAGACCACTGAAATGGAGCCAGCTGCAACTCCTGCTGCCCAGCATCAGAGAGCCAGCTCAAGGAAGTCACCATGAGGTCGACGTGTTTGGGGGCAACTTCCAAGAGGCCTGCCAACCAAAGCACCTTTTAGTGTTGAAGAATCAGCCTGAATTGGCTATGAGGTCAATTTAGCCAATGAAAAGTGACTAAGACAAACTTCGAGTGCTATAGAAATACAATTTAAAATTAGTTCTCGGGGGCAGCTAGGTGGCGTAGTGGATAGAGCATCGGCCCTGGATTCAGGAGGACCTGAGTTCAAATCTGGCCTCAGACACATAACACTTACTAGCTGTGTGACCCTGGGCAAGTCACTTAACCCCATTGCCTAGCCAATAAATAAATAAATAGAATTCGTTCTCAAAGATACAGTCTCTTTGAAGGAAGAAAAAACTGAAAGAAAAGAAATCAAACATAAGTCATACCCGTTTTTTGTTTTTTAAATAACAAGTTATGTATTTGCATCAATCCCGGATCTGTTGATTGATTAGGAAACAGCACAAGGTTTGGCTGGTCGAGGGCTCACGGTGCTGCTTGGTGAGAACGGCCACTTTGAGTCGTGCTCTCATGGTGCAGAGAAACCACATGCTGGGTCCCCCCCAAGGGCCTCTGGCCCCAGCCAGCTGGCTCACCCTGCCAAGGGAGCCGCCTCCTGGTGCCACTAAGCCTCTGGACCAAATCGTGTATTTTCTCACACAGAGGTCGGGGCTCGCTCTAGGGCAGGAGCTCGAGCAGGTGAGCCAAGAGGCCACGAGGAACCTAGCTTCTCTCTGCCCTTCCAGAGACCTCACGCATAGACTGTGTGCAGATCTGAACTTGGTTATTTTACTGAATTGGCTGTGTTCTATTCAGATCAGATGCCTCATGATCTCTCTCTCGTTGAGGAAAATTCTGAGCTAGGTTCAAAACATTTTGACAAACGGTGATGGGTCCCAAGAGCGCCAGAAGAGTTCGTAAAGGTCATTGAAAACCACCTCATCATTACCTGAGGGGAAACTGAGGCCCCAGTCCACAGCAGGCGAGGAGCAGAGGAGAGATGGGAACCCATCCAGGACTCTGCCGTGACGCTTCACCAGTGTCAGTCTAAAACTAAGTCCAAAATAAAAGGTACCAAATCATATTCATTACATTTTTAGGTCTATGTATGTATTGAAGGGCCACCTTCCTCCACCCCAAAGCACCTCTGGTGGGCTCTGCAGCAAGAGGAAAGAAAAAGGGACAGTCTTTTTACGTTTATTTGACCAGACTGGCCCAGACTTCCTTCCATCCGTTCCAGGTCCCCTGAACCTCAGGCAGGTAGGTCTTTCCCTGAGCTCCTTGCTGCTCTTACGGACAGCAAAGGGGATGCTTCTTGGACCCAGTTTCCTGAAATGTGGAGACCCAAACTACGATGCGGAGACTTGCTCCCGCATCAAGCGTCTCTCAAGTGGCTGGGACAGGCTTGTAAACAGCTTTTTCTATAGATGCTTTCCAAAGTGACATTCTCACCACTGTGGCATGACCCAAAGAGCCCCACTTGTCAGCCCACTCGTCTCTCTCTGCCACTGCCAGGCCTTCTTGGCTTCCTCTCTGGAGTTGGTGCCTCTAACGCTTAGCCAAAGGAGGCCCTGCTTTGATACCTGTAAATCTCTACACAATCCATGGTGATGGGACTGTTCTCACTGCTACCTGGGATGGCTGGCGGTGGGAGGGTGGCTTAGTTATGCTTTGGGCACCTTTCTTTTCTAAAGCATCCTGATGAAGAGGGCACTTGGAGCCTGCTGCAACTCCCTGAAGCAAACCTTACGCAGACTCTGCCCCTGCCGGAAAGGACAGCTCTCTGCGGTTACACCCTTCTCCTCCCTGGAAGCCGCACAGAAGGCGGCATCCTTTTCAGATCAATGTAACCAGGACCGGCAGCCAAGGCACGCAAGGAGATTTACCCCAAGAGGAGACTGACGAGAAAACAAACGTGCCCGCAGTTAACTGGCCAGCGCTCACTTTCCTGGCAATTTCTTATTTCAAAACCCAATTTTCCTTGGCTCCTTAGGACAAAACCATAGCCCCCAAAATTAAGGCTGCAGCCTAGAACAAGGTGGTCTGAGACATTTCAGATAAATGGATGTTCAGTACAGAATTAATTTTCTACTTGTACTGTTAAAAAATGCCTGATTAAAATATGTTTATTGAACGTAAATTACACAAGTTTTCTATAAAAGAGAAGTTATACATAGCCAATATTGCACACACAAATCCAAGGGTTTCAGATATTTAGGGGTAAATCTATGTCATTCTTGTCATTCCTACCCCCACCCTCTCCAGAAAAAAAGGCAAAAAATCCATAATGGCCCAACATGGGGGGCATTTTAAGATCATCAGGGAATTATCAGTAGAAGACATTCAGGTAACTAGCATCCACATGTTGTAATCAATGATACCTTTGCTCAGATTTTATCTTCTCAGTGCTTTTCACCGTATATACACACACACGCTTCTTCATCCTCATCTCCTTTCATTGGGAAGTCGCCTCAGTGGACAGCGTTGGGGCAGCCCCGAGGCCTCAGCAGACGCACGGCACAGAACCAGTCCTGGCCATGGCCGTGAGCTAACACCCGTCTCTCTCCGTCACCTCTGCCGCTACCACCACTTCTCAAAACAGATACACTCTTTGGGGACCCTGCAGGCTTCTAGATGGCGAGAGAAGCGTTCTATCATTGGTGGCGGGCCACAGAGAAAATACAAAGTGTTCTTGGAGATGTGCTTCTCGATATCCTCATCTGGGATCTTTCCCTCTGACAAAAAAGAGAACACAAGAGCGTCTCAGATCAGTCATGTCCACCCATCTGTCTCAATGAGACCGGTCTAGATACAGCCCAGCAGCAGGGCATGTGGATGTGTGGGTGGTAGCACTGTGCTTGTGTGAGCACGTGTGTTGTCTGTGTGCTGTGAGCTGCCCTTTGGATCTCGCTCCTGAGTCAAGTGTGGTCTAGCCAAGGCCTCGAGACCCAAGTGCGAGCAGAAACTGCCATGTTCCCTAAGCCAGAGTGCAGTGAAGCTAGAAATGGGACCAGGCACACTGTAAAAAGCCAGCCTGTTTTGTGGAGATTTAACGTCACTTTCAGCAAAATAAGTTGTTTAAAATAAAAAAACGCAACAAAAAACCTCATGAAGAAGGTAAAATGTAAAAATTTAAATTACCATCAACAACAAATGGTGTAAATTCACAGCCAAGACTAGAATGTAAGATCTGTGTATGCCTCCCTGTGGTAACACAAAAGCCAATCAAAGAATGCACACATTAAATTCTTCAGATGGGAAGTGAAAAGGCCTGTTGACAACAGCATACTCAACTTGTTTTCTATTGCTGTTTTCCTCTAATAATTCATTCTTGGCCTTCTTGGGCTGTGATTCTACACTGCCTGCAAGTTCCAACTACTCATGAAGTAACTGAAGTTTTGGAGATGGAGCCAAGATGGTGGATTAGAGGCAGCAGCTCCCAACCTTCCGCCCCAAATCATTTTAAAGTAACACCTCAAATCAAGTTTTGGAGCAGTGGAGCCAACAAAAAGCGGAGGTCTGTCCAGAGCCTAGATTAGTGGTGGCGGCAGCAGCAGCTCCGAGAGCCCTCAGCCCAGACACGGCGAGGGGGGCGGGCAAGTGGTCAGAAAAAGGTTAGAAGGGACCCGCTGTTGGCACTGGGTGCAGCAGGCGCGGAGTGGCCAATCTCTTGTCCACATGCAGTTCTGGGTCACGGTCCCAGGGCAGAGAGAAGCATTTGTCATCGTTCCCTGGCAGAGAGGAGCACTACGGCATGCGGCTGATAAAGACCAGAGCACCAACCTGGAGAGAAGTGACCTCACCCCTCCCCAGATGACACCACTCTGGAAGCACAGAAAGCTTGCAGGCCTCCAGAACTAGCTAGGAAAACAGCGGCATAGAAAGACCTGAAGCGTGGGACAGTGCCTCCCCACCCCTAGGTGAGCAGAGCCCAACTTTAACATAAAATTCAAAGTTAAGAAACAGGATGGAAACATGAGCAAACAACACAATGACAACAATAACAACAAAAACAAAAGAACGTGACCATAAAAAGCTACTACAGCGGCAGAGAAGACCAAGACTCAGAGGACAGCAACGTGAAAACAGTTACCAAAAAAGCCTGGAAGAAAAATGCTAATCGGACACAATCCCAACAAGAATTCCTGCAAGAGTTCATGAAAGAGAGAAGAGTGGTAGAGGAAAAATTGGGAAAAGAAATGAAAGTGATACAAGAAAATTATGTAAAGAAAATTAACAGCTTGATAAATGAGGCACAAAAATTAAATGAAGAAAAGAACTCCTTTAAAAAAAATACTTGGCCAAATGGAAAAAGAAGTACAAAAATTAAGAAAATAATTCCTTAAAAATTAGAATTGGGCTCCTAGAAGCTAATGACTCCATGAGACATCAAGAAACAAAAAATAAATCAAAAGAATGTGAAATACCTCATTGGGAAAACAACTGAGTTGAAAAAAAGACCAAGGAGAGATAATTTAAGAATTATTAGATCACCAGAAAGCCATGATCAAAAAACAGGCCTACACATCCTACGTCAAGAAATCATCAAGGAAAACAGCCCCAGTACCTTAGATCCATAGGGTAAAACAGAAATTGAAAGAATCCATTGAACACCTCCTAAAAGATCCCAAATGAAAACTCCCTGGAATATATAGTCAAATTCCAGAGCTCCCAGGTCAAGAAGAAAATACTTTTAAGCAGCCAGAAACAAATCATTCAAATATCATGCAGGCATAGTCAAAATCACACAGGAGCTAGTGGCTTCCACATTAAAGGAGTACAGGGCTTGGAAAATGACATGCTGGAAGGCAAAGGGGCTAGAACTAAAACCAAGAATAACCTATTCATCAAAACTGAGTATAATCCTTCAGGGGAAAAAAAAGGATATTTAATGAAATAGTGGACTTTCAAATATTCCTGTCGAAAAGACTAGAGCTGAATAGAAAATCTGATATTCAAACATGAGACTCAAGAGATACATAAAAAAGGAAAATATGAAGGAGAAATCACAAGGGATTCAATAAGATTAAACTGTTTAATATTTCTATATAAGAAAATGATTCCTGTAACTCCTAAGAACGCTATCCTTATTAGGGCAGCTAAAAGAATTTACACAGACAGAAGGCATGGGTACAAGTTGATTATGTTGGAATGCTCCCCCCCCAAAAAAAGAAAGCGTGAGAAAGAGGGAAGCACTAGGAGAAGGAAAAAGGGAGGGGTAGAATGGGGAAATTTTTCTCACATAAAAGAGGCATGCAAGGAAGAACTTTTATAGTGGAAAGGAAAATGGGGAGGGGGAGTAGCAGGCTTGGACCTTACTTCCATTGGAACTGGTTCAAAGAAGTAAGATTATATACATACTTGTTTGAGTACCAAAATCTAACTTACCCAATAGGGAAATAGGAGGGGAAGGGGGTAAGAGAAAGCGGGTAGAGGGTGACAAAAAGGAGGGTAGATTAAGGGAGGAAGTAGTTAGAAGCAAAATAGCCTTTTGAGGAGGGACAGGATAAAAAGAAAGGGAGAATAAACAGAAGAAAATGTGATGGAGGGAAGTACACAGATACTAATCATAACTGTGAATATGAATGGGATGAGCTCACCCCTAAAACAGAAGCAGACAGAAGCAGACAGGAGCAGAATGAATTAGAAACCAGAATCCAACAATGCTGCTTACAAGAGACATACTAGAAACAGAAAGACACAGAGTTAAAGTAAGTAAAGGGCTGTAGCAGACTTTATTATGCTTCAGCTGAAGTAAAAAAAGGCATGGGTAGCAATCTGATTTCAGACAAAGGTAAAGCAAAAATGAACCTAACTGAAAGAGACAATCAGGGAAACTACATTTTGCTAAATGGTACCATAGACAATGAAGTAATATCAAACATTTTTACAGCAAGTTTCTCAGATAAAGGCCTCATTTCTTACATATATGGGGAACTAAAATTTATAAAAATAAGAGCCATTCCTCAGTTGATGAATAGTCAAAGGGTATGAACAGGAAGTCTTCAGAAGAAGAAATCAATGCTATCTATTAATCATAAGAAAAAATGCTCTAAATCACTATTGATTAGCAAAAATGAAAATTAAAACAATTTTGAGGTACCACCTCACACCTATCAGAAATGACAAATGCTGGAGGACATGAGGGAAAAACAGGGACACTAATGAACTGCTGATGCGACAGTAAACTGGTCCAACCATTCTGGAGAGCAATTTGTAGTCCAAGGGCTATAAAACTGTACATCCCCTCTGGCCCAGTAATACCCCTTCTAGGGCTGTATTCCAAAGAAATCAAAGAAAAGGAAAAGGACTTATGTGAACAAAAATATTCAGAGCAGTTCTTTTTGTGGTGGCAAAGAACTGGAAATCGAGGGGGTGCCCATGAATTGGGGAATGGCTAGACAAGTTGTGGCATAAGATTGTGATGGGGTTCTCCTGTACTATAAGAAATGAAGAGGGGGTGGTTTCAGAAAAAAACATGGCAAGACCCATATAAATGGATACAAAGTGAAGTAAGAATAACCAGGAGATCACTGTACACAGTAACAGCAATGTCGTAATGGTGAGCCACCTGTGAAAGACTTGATCACTCTGACCAATACAATGGCCCAAGACAATTCCCAAGGCCTCGTGATGGAAAAGGGCCATTCACCTCCAGAGAGAGAACCGATGAATTCTGTATGCAAACTGAAGCATCATCTCACTTCATTTATGTGCTGGCTTGTTTGTTTGCTCCTTCATTTACTTCTTTTTTGAGGTGTGGAAATATGTTTCACATGACTTTACATGCCGCTGTTCAATCATTTTTCAATGGTGTTTGATTATTCATGATCCCATTTAGGGTTTTCTTGGCAAAGACACTAGAGTGGTTTTCCATTTCCTTTTCCAGCTCATTTTACAAATGAGGAAACTGAGGCAAACATGAAGATGAGTCTTCCTGATTTCAGGCTCACCACTCTATCCACTATGCCACCTAGCTGCCCTTTTCACACATATAATTAATATACTGCTTATCTTCTCAGTGGGTAAGGGAAGGGGTGGGAGGGAGGAAGAGAATTTGGAATTCAAAATTTAAAAAGAAAAGAATGTGGGGCAGCTAGGTGGCACAGTGGATAGAACACAGGCCCTGGAGTCAGGAGGACCTGAGTTCAAATCTCACTTCAGACACTTACTAGCTGTGTGATCCTAGACAAGTCACTTAATACCCCCCCATTGCTAGCTCCCCCAAAAGAAGAATGCTTAAAATAAATACATTTTAAAAAACAAACTAAAGTTTGTTCCCTTGCTGACCCCTCCCCACAAAAAAATCTCTGGCCTGGATGGTCAGAGCATCTTTAGGGCAGATACACATGCCTCACTCACCAGTAACATATGGCAGAAGCTCTTCACTGATTTCTGCAGTCTGTTGTGTAACATAGAAACTACACATGATTTTCCCAGGAAATGCATTTGTTAAATTGAGAATGTTTCTCTGGAATGTTAAACACATTTGGTTACACCACAGTTGAAGGAATCCCAACAGATGTGCCCAATCACAGCATCCAGGCCCCCCTCCTCTGCCAGCCAAGCTAAGCATGCCCTCCACATCTGCCCACACCTCAGATCTCCTCCTCCCCTCTCTACTCAGAGACATATTGTTTGCAGCCCACCAGGCCAGAGCATTTAAAATGCACTGCATTATTTGGCTTTAATTGAAATATGAATATGCTAACAAGCATATTACTAACTCCTCAGATTGCTTTTTCTCAAGCACTAATAATTCAGCTGTGGTTTCACTGACCACATTTGCATCTTTTAACTTTCTCCACTCTTGTTCTTTTCTTGTGAAGACGCAAAGCCAACAAGCTATGTGGTTCCCAACCAAACATGTTCATTTAAACCAAGATTCCAACAATGGCAGTTTTGCCATTCTAGAGCTCCCAGACCTTGGAGCACAGAGCTTGTAGCCACAGGGACGTGGTCAGATTGCCCATGCTGTCCCTAGTGAGATGCAGGCAGAAAAAAGCCCCCTGAACTCATTCCAGAGAGGGGAGACTCTGCCCTGCCCTATGATGCACCCAATATTTACTACTCTAACTCTTTTGTGGACAGTATGCTGTCTCATTTGAAGATGAAGGCCTCTGCTTTTCTAATCCCACAGAAGAGAGCTTTGCTGGGTGTGAGGGCAGAATGACAACTGGGCCTAGGCTGGCATCACTGTCCTCACCCACCTTAAATAACAATTCGTTGGTATTTCTCGCACTGTATAACAGTCTCACTCTTCCCATCTCATAACCACTTCCTTTGTTCTCCCGATGTCTGTAAAGGTCAGCCACATGCAGCAGGATGGAATTGAGAGGGTTGATCCCCACTCCACCAGCTATCAGCACCAGGTTCACTGAAGAATCTGAAGGCTGAGGGTCAAAGAAGAACTCTCCACCAACTCGAAGGGCCACTTCAGAGCCAAGAGCACACTAGGAAGGAAAGGAACGGCATGAGATGCTTCCTTACAACCACGGCACTCCTGGCTAAGGACTGCCTTCATCGCAGTCCATACACATGGACGGGGAGGGCAGCTAAACTGGAAGACCCAGCACCTCTGGGAGAGCAAAGAAATAGAAACTCATTCATAAAATGGAAACAGATAGCAGAGTGGATTAAAAATCAAAATCCTACAATATGTTGTTTACAAGAAACACATATGAAACAGAGAGATACACACAAGGTAAAGCTAAAGGATGGAGCAGGGGTAGCCATCATGATCTCAAACAAAAGCAAAAAAAAATAGCAAAAGAGAAAAAAAAATAGATCTAATTAAAAGTGATAAGAAAGGAAACTATATCTTGCTGAAAGGTACCATAGACAATAAAGTAATATCGATACTAAACACATATGCACCAAATGGAATAGCACTGGAATTTTTGAAGAAGAAGTTGAATGAGTTACAGGAGGAAAGAGATAATCAAACTATATCAGTGGGGGACCTCAACTTTCCCCTCTTGAACTAGATAAATCTAACCAAAAAATAAACAAGAAAGAAGTTAAGAAGGTGAATAAAATTCTGGAAAAGTTAGATCTGATAGCTCTCTGGAGAAAATGGAATGGGAATAGAAAGGGAATATACCTTTTTCTCAGTAGTACATGGCATCTACACAAAAACTGACTGTGTATTAGGACATAAAAACCACCTCACAACCAAATGTAGAGAAAGTAAATGCATCCTTTTCAGATCATAATGCAATATAAACTACATTCAATAGTGGACAACGGAAAGAGAGATTAAAAATTAATGGGAAATTAAATAATCTAATCCTGAAAAAGAAGTGGGTTAAAGAGCAAATTACAGAAACGACGGATAATTTCATTGAAGAAAATGACAAGACAACCTATCCAAATTTATAGGATGCAATGAAAGTAGTACTTAGGGAAAAATTTATATCTCTAATTGCTTACATCAATACAATAGAGAAAAAGCAGAACAATGAATTGGGCATGCAACTAAAAAAACTAGAAAAAGAACAAATTAAAAATCCCCAATTAAACACCAAATTGGAAATCCTGAAAATCAAAGGAGAGATCTATAAAACTGAAAGTAAAAAAAACCACTAGAAGCTGTTTTTATGGGGGGAAAAAAGCAATAAAACAGATAAACCATCGATTAATTTAATTTTAAAAAGGAAAGAAGAAAACCAAATTACTAATATCAAAAATGAAAGCGGTGAATTATCCACCAATGAAGAGGAAATTAAGACAATTGTTAGGAGCTATTTTGCCCAATTACATGCCAATAAATCTGACAATCTAAATGAAATGGATGAATATCTACAAAAATGTCAATTACCCAGATTAACAGAAGAAATCAAGTACTTAAATAACCCAATCTCAGAAAAAGAAATTGAACAAGCCATCAACGAACTTCCTAAGAAAAAATCCGGAGGACCAGATGGATTCACAAGTGATTTCTACCAAACATTTAAAGAAAGATTAATCCCAATACTACATAAGCTATGTGGAAAAATAGGTGAAAGAGTCTGATCAAATTCCTTTTATGACACAAATATGGTGCTTATACCTAAATCAGGAAGAGCAAAAACAGAGAAAGAAAATTATAGCCCAATTTCCCTAATGCATATCAATGCAAAAATTTTAAATGAAGTACTAGCAAAGAGATTACATCAATAAATATATCACAAGTATCATACACTATGACCAGGTGGGATTTACACCAGGAATGTAGGGCTGGTTCAATATTAGGAATATTATGATCATAACTGACCATATCAATAACAAAACCAACAGAAATCATATGATTATCTCAACAGATGCAAAAAAAGCCTTTGACAAAATACAGCACCCATTCCCATTAAAAATACCACAGAGCACAGAAATAAAGAGAGAGTTCCTTAAAATGATAAGTAATACTTATCTAAAACCATCAATCAGCAAGCATTATCTGTAACAGGGATAAGCTAGAAGCCTTCCCAATACAATCAAGGGTGGGGCAAGGATGATCATTATCACTCCTGTTATTTAATATTATACTAGAAATGTTAGCCATAGCAATGAGAGAAAAAAAAGAAATGAATTAGAATAGGCAATGAGGAAACAAAACTATCACTCTTTGCACATGATATGATGTTATACCTAGAAAATCCTAGAGAATCAACTAAAAAACTACCTGAAATTATTAACGACTTTAGCAAAGTTGCAGGTTATAAAATACATCCACATAAATCATCTGCATTTCTATATATTACCAACAGAGCCCAACAGCAAGAGATACAAAGAGAAATTCCATTTAAAATAACTGTAGACAATATAAAATATTCGGGAGTCTTCCTGCCAAGACAAACCCAGGAACTATATGGACACAACTATAAAACACTTTCACACAAATAAAGTCAGATCTAAACAAGTGGAAAAATATTGATTGCTCATGGGTAGGCCAAGTCAATAAAATAAAAATGACAATTCTACCTAAATTAATCCATTTATTCACTGCCACATCAGTCAAACTATCAAAAAATTATTTTATAGAGCTAGCAAAAAAGAATAAAATTCATCTGGGAGAACAAAAGTTCAAGGATATCAGGGGAATCAAGGCCATACCAGATCTCAAGCTGTATCACAAAGCAGTAATTATCAAAACAATCTGGTACTAAGAAACAGAGTGGTGGATCAGTAGAATAGATTATGTACACATTACATTATAGTAAATGACCATAGTAATCTGGTATATGATAAACCCAAAGATCCAAGCTTTTGGAATAAAAGCTCATTATTTGACAAAAACTGCCGGGAAAACTGGAAAACAGCTGGCAGAAACTAGCTATAGAGTAAGATCTCACATTGTATATACCAAGATAAGGTCAAAATAGGTAAATGATTTACACATAAAGGGTGACACCATAAACAAATCATGAGAGCATGGAATAGTTTATCTATCAGATTTATGGATAAGGGAAGAATTTAGGACCAAAGAAGATGCAGACAGCATTGTAAAATTGATCATTCTATTATATAAAAGTGTAAAATAGATCATTTTGATTATATAAATTTCAAAAGTTTTGCACAAACAAAACAAATGCGACCAAAATCATAAAGAAAGCAGAAAACTGGGGACAGGGGGTGTGTGTGTGTGTATGGAAATTTTGCAACAAGTATCTCTGACAAAGGCCTCATTTCTGAAATATATAGAGAACTAAGTCAAATTTATAAAAATACAAGTCATTCTCCAACCGATAAACGGTCAAAGGATATGAACAGGCAGTTTTCAGACAAAGAAATCAAAGCTATCTATAGTTACATGAAAAACTGCTCTAAATCACTACTGATTAGAGAAGTGCAAAATTAAAACAACTTTGAAGTACCACATCACACCTATCAGAGTGGCTAATATAACAAAAAAGGAACATGTTGGAGGGGATGCCTGCTGGTGGAGTTGTGAACTGATCCAACCATTCTGGAGAGCAATATGGAACTATGCCCAAAAAGCTACAAAACTCTGCATACCCTCTGATCTAGCAATACCACTGCTAGGTCTAGAACCCAAGGATGTTTTAAAAAAAGAGAAAAGAGGGAAAGCTAGGTGGCGCAGTGGATAGAGTACCAGCCCTGAAGTCAGGAGGACCCAAGTTCAAATCCGGCCTCAGACCAAAGACTTAACACTTCCTAGCTGTGTGACCCTGGGCAAGTCATTTAACCCCCATGTGCCTAAAAATTTTAAAAATTAAAAAGCAAAAAAAGGGAAAAGAATTTATTTGTACAAAAATATGTACAGCAGTTCTGTTTGTGGTGGCTAAGAATTAGAAATCAAAGGGATGCCCATCGACGGGGGCATGGCTAAACAAGCTGTGGTACGTGACCGTAATGGAGTATTATTGCGCTATGAGAGATGACGAGCACGATGCTTTCAGAAAACCCTGGAAAGACTCACATGAACTGATGCAGAGCGAAGCGAGCAGAGTGAGGAACACGTACACAGCACCTGCAACACTGTACACTGATCAACTGTGGATGGCTTCGCTCTTCTCAGCAAGACAGTGATCCAAGACAAGCCCAAAGGACCAATGATGAAGCACGCTGTCCACCTCCAGAGAAAGAATGGATAGTGTAGGAATACACAGACTGAAGCATGCTGTTTGTCACTCTCATTTTTTTTTCTTTTAATCAAGTCTTCTTGTACAAAATGACTAACATGGAAATGTTTCACATAATTGCACATATATAACCTACATCTGATTGCTTACTGTCTCAGGGAGTGGGGAGGGGAGGAAAGGAGGGATAGAATTTGGAACTCAAAACTTTAAAAAAAAAAAAGAACTAATATGTTAACATTAAAGTATACTTAAAAAAAAAAAGCAAGGTCTGTGTAGTGGAGATTGCATTTCATATGCTGTCCTGCTTTCTGTACTTTAGGAAAACGCTGTATTTGTTATGTTGCCAAGTTCAAAATAACAAAAAGGAAGTGTTTAAAAAAAAAAGAAAGTAAAGCTCAGGTGGTGTTCTAATTACAGTCATCCCTTTTACATCTTGGTTGTCAGGGCTGTGACGCCGCCCACAATCTGGAAAATCTGAGTGTAAGTTTTTGGCCCACCCTTGTAGCAGAAAAGTCTCAATTATTATGGTATTAAGGAATAAAATATGTTGAGATGATAGAATACTATACACGTATTTTATACATTTCTGAATTTCTGATTTTTTGTGTCTGCTAGCCTTCACCTCTATTCTGCGGCTTCCACAAAACTCCCTCCAAATTCCCATTTAATTTCTTATGCCGACCTGCGATATATCGAAACCGTAATGGGGAAAGTTGTGATGTGGAAGGGATAACTACATTTGTTAAGAGACACAACTGTGACCTACTCAGATGAAGAAAACACAGGGATGAATCTTCTTCGAAGACGGCTGACTCTGGGCCTACCAGGATAATCACATCACTGCAGGGTACTGAAGTCCCTGTCACTTTTTGTGG